GATTCCGCTTGTTTGCCTAGACGAGGCTAAAGCCATGTTCACACTGTATGAGGTATGATATTATGAAAATGTGCAATCGGACCGTTCTTTCTAAGGTGTTTCCAGAGTGTCTCTCGTGCAGCAGAACCGCAGCATCAGATTTAACAATTATCATCTTAAGCCACATTCAGACGAACAAAGCGAATATTGTAAGGCGTATATGTTTATCTGGTTTTCATAGGTACGTCTGGATTACATACCGAATATAGACGCGCCACAAAAATCTGTATAAAAACCTTACAGCGATCACAGCAATCCGTCGGTTGTCGCTAATGTAGCAAACCGTTCAAGCAATCCGCAACCGTCATTTTGGCAAAATATGCTCTAAATTCTGGTACGATGTACTGTTCCCCCTTGTGCTGGGTTTATAACGACTAACGGTATTTTTTTTAATTTTATAGACAGCAAAAGACTGAATTTCTACTACTTGACTCCCCCCTGAATCGAAAGCTGGATCCGCCTCTGCACTGTATGGTCAAAAGGTTTTTGTTGTCCTATTGAGTTTTGTAAGCAAAAACACACATTTCTTTCTGTGTATACGCGTTGTCCAACTTCTTGAATTTTGAAACTCTTGTCCAACACACCGAATTGATGTTCTGGGATTTTCACAAATAGTCTCATGTACTGCTTCAATATTGGTATTTGAACACTTAATTCTAGACGACCAGTGTGTTAAACGTCTCCAACTGATCCACCCTTCTTGAATCTTTCAATTGGTTTGGTCAGAGTTGGAGGTTCCTTGCAGTTTTTCATCGCTTTTTGCGCTGCATCTGTTGAATCGGTATTAGTATTAGCATAAGAAATGTTTACCAAAATAAAATGTAAGACTGTATTACCAATATGTAGAGGGTGTTTCCTCATAAGTTAACAGACCCTAGATAATTTATTTCATAAAATTGTAAAAAGTGGTTATTACTAAAGTTGTTTATTATTACTCAGATTTATAAAATCTAAAGTGAAAACAAAAACTTGAAAGACTTAAATAACAAACTATTAGAGCAAAGAAGAACGCAACAACTGAAGATGAAAATTAAATATATTACTTACCCCAAGTGCACCCCCCGTCTGCGTTTGCTCTGTAGCACTTTTTAATGAACATTTTTATATTTGGATTGAACTCTCTCATCCTTGGATCTCATAAACATCCAATAGCCCCGACTTAACGCCCCTTGATTCTTTTCTCTGGAGTTATTTAAAAAATGTTGTGTATGGAAGTCCAGTTAAAAATGTTGCCTCAGAAATTACGCTTTAGAACAGCGGCAGTTAAAAATATTAATTTGAATCATTACCAATATATTCAAAGCGTTTTAGATAAAATTGAAATCGGTTATAGAAAACGTATAGAGCTAAACGGAGGTCATACAGAGAAGCGCTGATTTTAATCTTATTGTGTTTTAATTTTTTCAAATTATAATAGCAATAAGTATGTGTAGTTATTCTCTTTATGATTTTTGTTTATTTCTTATATTTCATGGATACCTTAATTTGGCGTTATTTGTAATTTTTGAAAAGTAATATAAAGAAAGAGGCTAAAACAAATGCAGGGTGATTCAAATTTGTATCCTTTCAAAAGGTAATAGACTCTTACTTATAGAATAAGAGTAAAATATTGAAAAAACAAAATTTTAATTTATATACTTTGAAGCTCCTTTCACAAATTTGCGGATATACATTTAGTTCTCCGGAAATTCTACGGTAAGATAGCAGAAGCTGAAAGAACTCACGCCAACAAAAGGCGAGATACACTGGAGATTGTATCCAGGAGGATAGTGGAACACAATAGATGTTCGGTGTCCAGACGCAGAGTAACAACTATTGGATATAATTGCAGCAGAGCCTTCTAGGGGTACTCAGAGCACAATAACTGACACTTTCCCAAGCACCAAATAAATACCGAGGAAGGGCTACATTCCTACCACGTATGTAAAATACATTCAGCACGAGGACACATTAAACCAATATATTACTGAACATCGGTACAAATTAAGCGAGAGTTAATTAACCGAATACGAGAAGCTGCTCGATAACAGTGGTTAAGAAGGATAACAGGCACTAACTTGTTTCCAGTTAAGGGCTCAAATGTATGTTTATTAGTAAACATAAATCCGAGGTTATGAGGACAATAATGGACATTTCGAAAAAGTACGTTCCACAGTCAACGAATCCTGTAGAATTTAGCGTTTATCCTTGTCTATTTTACTGTCACTTTCTGTATAATTCCATGGTTTCCGTAGTTTTTAATAATTACGAAGCAACAGGTATTTACGTAATGTTAATTAGGCAGATTACGTTGAAAAGCATTGTTGCCGTCTTTTTGATATAGTTGTTTGCAAATTTATCAGTATTTAATAACAATTAATTTGTTTAATTATTTTTTCTCTAATCCTAAAACACCGCCAGAGGAATGGCGCCAATTTTCAATCACCCTGTATAGGCAATATATACAGGGTGTTCCTGAAATGACTGTACGACGCTTAACCACCGCGTTGTCGAAAAGTTCTTAGCCGAAAATAAGAGGATGTATGCGAACTTACCTATATCCAATGTTGCTTTATTTTGCCGCTACAGGGCGCCAAAGCTCTCAAATTAATAGCGTTTTTCCTACTAATTTCTAAACACGTATATTGATTTTCACTAATTCTGGAAGCAACAATTAGTACATAAATTGACGTGTTTGAACGTAAGCCTGATCTTTTTTTAAGGCGAGGAATTATTCAGACTGCATGGTTTATCTTTTTTTTTCAAATAATTTTAAGAATTTTCTGCCATTAGCTGATTTTCTTTTGAAACCTTTTTTGCTTCAGCAAAAATTTTGTCAGGCCTACAGTAATTGTACAAATAATTATTTACACCTTACTATTCAGATTGAGAAAAAAAAAATGACAAAGAATTAGTTCTGAAAAACTGAACTAATTAAATCATTTCGACAAATGTTCAATATGTTGAGCGTATTCGTAAACACATACATTAATTCTGCTCAAAAAATTAAACTGTACTATGGGCATCAAGTCGGGCTTGTTTTTAAAATAATCTCCACGATTGAAAATTATTTCCAGGAAATTGGCTTCTGCAGCGATGGGCAAAGAATACCTACACTTTTGATTTAAGAGAGTCTGACAGAAAAAACCTACCGGCATTAAATCGGATTATCTTGTTGGCTAATTTAATGGGTGCATCGCTACCTCTTTCGATGCGATATCATTAGGACAAGTTTTATTTGAAAATCTCCGCTAGCACTGCAGTGAGTTGTCGCCCCGTCGTGCATAAACCACAGTTCGAAAGAAAGTCGTAAAAAAATCTTCCAATAAACCAGGGAAGTTGTTTTGCAAGAAGAGTAAATAGCTATATGCATTTAACCCATTTGACATTACAACTGGTCCAATTTTAAAATTGTCAATCATATCTCCTCATACATTAGTTTGATAGTACATTTGTCATTCCCGCTCTAGAAATCGCGGCATTGTCAGTAAATACAATTTTCTTATAAAACTTTTTTGCATTTGGTATTCAAATTTCCCCGATGAAACGGTAAAACGTCAGGCGACTTTCAGGATCTATTGGCAAAAAATTTTGCACAGTATTTTTAGAAATCGTCAATTCAAGCTGCAAGCGTCTGAAGCTTGATTTGGGACCATCAATTCTGGTCAAAACTACCTCTTCGAGCTTCGAAGTCCAAATTGTACGTTGTCGTCCACGATTAACATTAATTGGTTTCAAGCACCCGTTTCTCTGAGTTGCCTTTCAATACTCTCGAATCTTGGATGGTTTGGAATTCTACAGTATGGCTATTTGTTATTATAAACTTTAACACTCATACGTCCATTTCTTTCACATAATCCTTATATCAGAATCATACCAACTTTCTCTGCGATAGAATATTGAATAATGTTTCAGTTTAGAGGAACACAACTACTCAGTTTACAGCAAAATTGAAAGGTCTGGCTCAAGCCTTCCAATTTCCGATTCAATTCTGTTATTCGCAAAAGTTTGAACATCTTTCCTAACGTCGCCAATTGAATGGCGTATTTATCTCTATCGGGAATTCAACACTATCAACGTATTTTTGGGTCGTTTTCCATTCGGTTAATTTCGAGTTGGTTTAATGTAATAATAAAAGTATGCAACAATTTGAAACAACAACCTGAAAAAACCTAAATAATCTAAGCCCACTGAAATCGAATGAATCTACATGCTAGGTATCTAAGAAAACAATTTGTATTAACTTAAAACTTTTGCTCGGTTTGGCAACACCGCTCAAAATTTAGCCTGAAAACTGTAATTTTCTTCTGCAGTATAATCTAATCTGAGTAATAATAATAAATAATTGTTATGTTTGCCACTTTCATCATTTTTTCAAATAAATCATTTCGGGGCTGTCAACTTGTGAAGAAACGCCCTGCACCGGCCTGTTATAGATTTGGTATATTTTCTCTTTTCCTTTCTCGTGTGAGATTTGTATTTGGGAGTGTGTATTTTCTTGTACTATGCATACAAATATTTACTCCTAGATGCAAAAGTTTTTTTTGTTGTTTTCATGGAGTGTGTTGAAATATCTTAGAATTGTAAATAACATTTTTCGGCACAATATTTTATTTGGTTTGACTTATAAATATACTTGTATAAGTTACTAAAAACATGTCAGTTAATTTCTAAAATGTATTTTTATTTAATTGGTCACACCATTTAAATACGCACAGCACCAAAATGTGGGAAATCTGTTGGATCAGCATCATCATAGCCAAGTTTCCTTTGGCTAATTTCGAGAGGGACCAAAAATGAATCAGAAATTAGGTGAATTAGCATGCGGCGAACTCTATGGTGAGAGTTCAATAAACTATTGGTAAGAGACCATAATTAGCAGGACCTTAACCGGCCCTTCAAGAAGTCAGTCCATTAAGCCATGGTACCGGTAGCGAAGCGTATTATAGCGCAGCAGCTTTGCGCCGAATGTGGTTTCTGATTATACATTCTCGCTATATTACGGTATTTCGCTTCGGGCCGCACGTTCTTTTAATCATTCGTCAGCGTTCTAGCGCGATTCTATACAGTAGATTTTCTCACAGGAAGTATTGAAACAGCGACATTCACCTGTTTTCGGGTTAATATCAACAGGTTACCGGTAAACGGACGGTCGTACAAACGAAACTTTTGTATTCGCACAGTTTCTAAAGCTCGCGCTCCATTCCGTTACTTCAGGATATGCATGTGTGCGGCTTTCACCATATGGAAAGCCCTACAAATCATAATTAACTTCAGTGACTGTTCTCGGGAAAGTTTGTTTGTTCAGTGAGGAAAGCTCTTTTTGTGGGGATTCACGGTTGATTATCAATTATTATTAGGACGCAATGGAGACCTGTTTTGATGTGGATAAGTCGTTTTACGACATTGACTCAGCTGATGACCTGAAGCAATTCTGGGAATCTGAACTAGATCCGGTAAGAAAAAGTATTTAACTTTTAGTACTACTTTCAAACTACATGCAATGTGATCCACCACTGCCATTATCCGAGAGGAAAACCACCTGATTGTTAAGTTGAAAAACCAGATAAAAACCGGTTAAGATGGAATACCCCAGCAGAGTTCAGATTTCGGGACCAAAATTTCCGGTTGTATATTATCATTAAAACGGGATAGTTAAAATTCCATGTAGTGTAAATGCCATTTGTGCGGGGACTAATTTTTATGCAGGCCATGCTCACCATGAATATCTAGTAGATTGCATAAAAGTTGACTGACTGTGATAAAGTTCAAGGACTTTACTCGTTTTGAATTCAGTTTGTTTAAACATTAAAATGTTTTGTAATAATTTATCATGTTCGTCGGGAGACTCACTTAAGTGCAGATATAACATCGATTTTATAATTTTGAGGTTTGTCAAATAATACCGTCGTTATCTATTATACTTATTGCTTTATCAATAAACCTGATAACAAAGATAATGTACAATTGGGCGTCGAAAACTGTTATAGGCATTTCCTACATATACATTCAAGAACCACTGAAATTTTATGATTATTGCTTTAATAATTACTTAATTTATTTTGAATTGAGTTGTTAAAATGTGGGGTCATTTGTCTGGGGGGTGTTGTTTGGCGGTATAAGGAAGTACAGAAAAAATATTTAAAAACATTCATTCCCACCAAAACTGAGGGTTTTTCGAAAATCTTAATTGGAATCTTTGCAACAATGCATTTAACCCGACCTACAAATGACGGTTTTCTCATTAGCCTTACGTAAATAGTTGTTACCTTATTAGTTAATCAACAAAGGAAACAGGTGAAAATAAAAATCAAATAGACGGCAAATAATTTTACTGGTCAAGAGAACAATTCAGAATGTCAAAGGTTCGATTATCGATTAAGTTCCTAAAGCTATTTTGTAATAACTTGCATAAATCAGTATGCGGAATTTTAAATGTTTGTTAAGTAGTGTATGTTTCGTTCCATTACTCACAAAATTGGTCTTATTACCACGCAAAAAATGTTGACATGAATTTAAAAAAATTCTAGTTTAAGATTATTAGAGAACAGAAAATTAATATGAGTAGGTACCTATAATAAAGGATTTCACCAGTTCCGTTACTAAAACCTAAAGCAAAGTGAAATCGTCGAATTCCCTATTAGACTCACATGGGGAAGGTTGTCTGGTCTCATTAATAATTAGAATTCTTTACAAGACCACACATCTAGAGAAAAAAGGTTATCGGTAGCCTGATAAATGATGAGAAAAAAGAGGAAATAGTGTATATAATGTAACTTCTGGTTGGCCGTGAAGTGAAAAAGTCCACCGCGTTTATCGAGTATAGTTATTTGAACAAATTGCATTGACAACATCTAAATAAGTAGCTTAATATAGTTTAAAATGGCGAGCAGCTAAGTATGTTGCATTGGGAAACACACCGCCACTAAGTACTTTCATTTTCTAATCAAGTCGCACACTTTAGATAAAATAGGAATAACTCATACTTGCTACTCTATTGACAATTATCACTTTGCTGCATTATTATTCAATTAAATAAACGTCTAAAACAGCACGCGAAACTTTTGCGTAAAAGCTACATGTAGTCCTTGATGGTCTCAGCATAGGGGTTATCTTCTGCCCGAACGCGTGAATATCTGCAATTATAAATAGAGACTACTATTTTAGTCAAATCAGAAAATTATCTATAAAGTACGTATTGAAAATAATTCCGTTATTCAAACTATATTTAGGTCAAACAAGTTTGGCTCGTATGTTCAGGTCACCCAATCTTAAACATAGATCTTAGGTAGAGAGACAAATTTTTATTACCTACATTAAGACAAAATATTATGAAAAGACAATATTATTGGCTTAATTCACTTATTTATTCATATTTTAGTATCATATATAAAATAATCTGCTTGAAAATTCAGTCTTTTATTATCAGAAATTATTTCAATAGATAGCTGAAAAGGATCTGCTGAGGATAATAAAATAAAGTATTTTGGTTAAATCCAAACAGTTCGAATTAATTTTTAATAAAGCAAAACGCTGGAAAAAATTTATGTTTTCTTGACAGAATATTTGTGATTCTGCTATTAAATGTATCTAAATTTGCCGATTTATTTACACGTTTCAGTCTTTAATTGAACATTTCAATCAGCATTACAAGTTTCCTTTAAAACAAACTGAATATTCTTGACTTGGCTCGCTTGTCCGATCGTATAATCTATAATTGATTATTCGAATAATTTATTACTTTGTCCTTTTTGAACATTTATACTAGACATTTCTAGCATCTGTTTTCCTCTCATTTTATAGACTTGTACCTACTTAGTGTAGAAGTACAGCTTGTGATTGAAAAGTATTACTAAACTTGACTTTTCTTCGCAAGTGCAGTTTGTTTTTGCAGAAAATGTTGTACATCTGCAATGATCAAACGAATATTCTTACAGAAGCTAGTTCCAAACCAAAGTTACAGTTAGGTACATATTCAAATTGCAAAAGTTCGCAGTATTGAATTATCTACAATAAATAGATTTAATTCACTTTTCCATAGTAACTGTTTATTCGAGCGTGGATGTTTTGTAATTCTAAATAAGAAAGACACAGTTTTATCGTACTACCTATATACAAGCAATAAGGGAGACAAAACTCAAAAAGTACAGGGCATTCTAATATATATCTAATAAACCGGATGGGGTGTGGCTAAGGAAAAACAAAGAGAAATTAAATAGGTAATTGATTTGCTAAATGAAATAATTTAAATCAGATGTTTATACTGTTATAGTAATGGCTACACCCAAGTCTGCTCTTAACATTAAACAGTAAAATCAAATATTCTTCATTACTGTTAACAAATCGGTATTTGGCAGGCTTTTCCAACAAACCGAAATCATGTCGCCATTTAGCAAACGTTCTGCTTATTGCTGCCAACAGAATGTACATAAAAGTGTGCATTGTTGATAATACACAGATGAAATATGATTTTTAAAGTCACTGCCGAGCACCAATCGCAACAAAACACGACTCGCTATCTATCTTGACTATATCATTTTATTTCGTTTCACTTATAAATATTTATAATATTTTATTTCACTTATATATTTAGTCGCAGTAGTTTCGACAATAAAAAGTACATTTTCGATTTCGAGTAGTTGTAAGCCTAAGTATATATTTGAATTTGATTTTATAGTAAACCTTTATCTTACAATTGAAATAGCAATATTATCTATAAACCAGGCAGGTAACTTAAGTAGGTTAATTCAGACGTAACGCTAAATTTGAACGAATTTAAACGACTTGCAATTAAGATCAAAATGCTTCCCAGACATTACAATAAACTGGTGCTGAACTTTGCTAATTGTTCTAGAATGAAAGGTCCTGACAAAGAAAGTAACCGAGTCCCTGGAAAACTGATTTATGTACCTGCAATATAATGGAAACATTATCATTCAAGAGCTGGTGATTGCGCCTATATAGCTCCAGAGCATTTGCTAAAACCGTGACATTTTATTAAGCGTAAATGAAATAACTTGCGGAGTAACAATTAGCGGACGCCATTTATTTCTGTTGTATAAATCTACTGAGTGATTTAGCAGGAATTCGAAAAATGTATAGTATATGGAGAAGTCAAAATAAGCTTAATACTTATATGTCCAAGTATGATTTTTGATTGATTATGAAGTGTAATTTTCTTGTTTAATATTACCACATATCTGTGACCTTCGATCGGTTTCACGACAATAAAACAGCCTCGAAAACTAACTCAAAAAGTTGCGTGAAAGTAATTAAAACATTTTGTAAAGCATTTTCCATGTTAGTCGGATGCTAAAATAATGAGAAATATAGGGATATAAGATTTGAAATGGAAGGACTGTGTAACAAATCTTCTTTTATATTCCTTTATATTCTGAATGATTGTTTAATAAAAAAAACCCTTTCAGACGGTTTTGAAGCGGTCTTAGTATAATTTATCAACGGACAAGCTGAATAAAAAGTTCGACCTAATTTGTCTTTATAAATGAACTTTGAGTCAAAAAAAAATAAAGAAAGTAAGTTTAAGAATGGAAAATACTGGAACAATCCTTAATTGACAATTAAAATTTATTATATGAATTCAATAGTTTTGTACATGGTGGCGTTTAAACTTGGGAAAGCAACAAAATGTAAATATTCAATTTAATTGAGAGTTCAGAGGTAGGAATCTTTTGACATTAACACATATGCCCCATAAAATATATGGATTGAAAGAGGCTCGCATATTAATTGGTCAGCCAGATCACCTGACCTCACTCTTTAGGACTTTTTTTATTTGGGGATAAGTCAAAGAAGAAAAAGTCTACTAAGTTCCTGCAACGGATCTGGAGGATATGAAGCAGAGAATAACACGCGCTTTGTAAGAAAAATTCCTACAAATACTGGAAGGAGTTCTTCATTACAACGTTAGAAAGTTAGAATTATACCTCAGGGAAATGGTATTAAGTTTCAATAATTATTTTAATATTGCTCTAAAATTACATTGTTAATTTTAGTAAAAAAATAATAATAAAGTTTACTTTGATGGATTCCTATATTCAATTGCCGTTATGGCCAAGACTATTGAATTCAGTCACATAGTATGTCATACAAAAATATGACTTGACAGTCATATCTGTATTTTGGGCTATTCTGCATACTTCAGAAGTAACAGAAATAAATAGTTTGGCGACAACCACTACACTTTTATATAAACGTTTTCTTGTCAGTAGCTCTTTCGGTACGACCTAAGAGCGGAGATTTGGTTCGCTGACTCACCCTGTACCTATAGGTCTTTCTATGGAGTCGAAAAAGTGAAATATAGATCACTACAGTTAAGCATTAAGTAAAATACTTAATTAATTTCGTGTCGCTATTGAAAATTTAAATACAAATGGTGTTGACTGGCAAATGGCTGTTGATCGACCAAAAAATGAGAGGAAAGAGTAGGCGTCAAAGCCTTGAAAAGTACAAAGTGGATGAGTTTCTAGTGAGACGCCTTGTATATTTTTTTATTTTTTTATGAGTAGGTATATGCTTATTATATGCTGTTTGGCCATTTTCAAAGTATTTGCATTAAAAAAAAAAACTTATTTTTCCAAATTTCAGTTGCTATAAATAGAAAAATGCAACTAACATAACTTCTCATAATTATTCAATCACTTTATCTCAAAAATGTGTTATATAGACGAAGAAATAAGAAGTCAATTAATGGATCGGAACATCTGAAGCCCTTAACTAGCCACCAAATAATCCTGATCCACAACGTCGGTATTTTTTATCTAACTAACCCGACATCTAAAGTAAAAGTCTATAAGGCAAGAAGTGAACACTTTCTTGATTAAGGATTACAGGATATAAGACAACGAGGCGAAAGAACTTCACTGAATAGATATTCTGTGATTATTTGCAATGTTTTTTATATTGATCGGTTAATATTACAGAAAATGTGTTCAAAATGATGGCAGACTCATTCAGAATTTATAAATTTTGGTTATGTAAATTAATTATTACAAAATATATATAATAATTAATAATTATGTTTACCTACGACCACTACTGAAAGTAGTATAAAACACACTAGCTTCCATCTAAGTAAGTTCCATTTTACGTGTAGACCAAATGCACGGTAAACCGAACGCACGGTAAACCAAACGAACAGCTCTGTCATCATTCCTTACAATAGGATCTTCCATTAAAAATTTACTGATTTCTTTATTTTTGAATGTATGAACCAAACCATGAAATATTATTATTGGCCATATTTAACTTTATTGTATATGTATGTGTAAACGTATTAGTTTTTTTGGTCTTGATGAAGAATATGACAATATAAACATCATCATATGGCAAAGCGCAGATCGGGTATCATAATAAAATTGGCGTTGTATTCTCGAAACGTAGAATTAAAATTTTCAGCATATACCATTAAACAGTTTGCTTGTTTTGGTCTTAAACTTTTGCCCAATAGCGCCTGGGTTTTTAATATTTTTAATGAAATTTGACGCTGCAATTAATACGCCGAACTCTACTCACTATAGCAAGTTTAACATTTTTGAGCTAATAAATGGGTACAATCTAATCTGTACACATAACGTAGTATTAAAATGATAATCGATTAACAAAGTGTGTCATTTCAACTGATCTAATAATAAACGACCCAATAATTAAAATTGAATTTAGCGCAAATAGACAGTGAATGTTACAATATCATCCAAATGTCACTCAATACAGAATAATTCTTAGAAAAGTTGTCCGTAGACGGAAAAATTGCCATAATTGGCATGAATATACCTACTTTGGAAAAGTGAAATAATTGAGTCCAGTTTGGCAAATAAGGTTGATTTAAGCCCGGTAAATATTAAAATGAAATTATTTTGGCCAGCTTAATGCACGTGCCATAAAGGTTTAATTTAATTCTGAAAAGATCGGAAAAGTCCTTTCATCGACTGGTCCTAAAATGTAACAAATTTTCCACACAAATTCTGGGAATTATTTATAGATCTTTGGCTTCGAAGCGTCTTAGCTTGTAGCTAGCTCAAACATGATATCAAGTAAGTTACTCTGCATTTAGTGCTTGTCGCTACCTCGTTTAATTGGAAATGGCCTTCGAATGCAGGATAACTTTCCTAACGAAAATGTCTGATGCTCTTATAAATCGGTGTCTTAGATCGTCTGTTTGTCCAGAGAATGCAAATAGCTTTCAAACAAGAAAGTAAACGTGGCCCACTGAAAACTGATTGTATTAATGAGCTCTATCTGGGGAATTAAAAACAATGCACCTATTTTGCAACACGCGTGTAATGTGACCGGTAAATTGCATGACACAGATTACGGCTCGTATCCTATAAAACGAACACAATGATTCAGATTTTCAGTGTCTTGTACGGATGTGTGTGTGTGGTTTCTAGAACCGCTGCAACTTTAAGGACCTTTAAAGGCCGGGTCACATCTATCCGATCCGACTCCGATCATACAATCGGACGAAGATCTGAGAGCAAAATGGTACTGGACTTTCAACGCCGTAGTT